GGTTTATATCCTGGCAAAGGGGAGTAGATAGGTGAATATTTATACATGTGGTACACCAAGGGAGAGTTTTTTTTCTCTGTAGAATCATTGGTTGTAAGAATCTGTGGGGTGGAGGTGTTCAAGCTTAGGTACTTTCTAAGGTGTAAAGCATTATTCTGGGGATAGAAATTTAACAGTTAATGCCAGACAGTAGGAAGCTGTACTTAATGGTTTCTTGTTTTCTTTTCGTTGCTCCTCTACACCAAACTTTCTGTGTATGAAGAACTTGTGAAACTCTGTAAGATGTTTAAAGGCTGACGTATCCTCCCACAGCGTGCTTTAGTATAAGCAGGATTTGCTACTTCACAGCAGTTAATCACTGGGTTCTCTTCCATGGGGACAGATGTATTTCATTCTCTTTTGTCCTCCATTGCATGTTGAAACTTGAGATTCATTTTCAAAATGACTCGTTTATAAAGCTTCACATAACAAGTAGTGAATAGCTTTCACAGTTGTCAGCTGATGAAATGTTATTTCATGTTAAATGACCTTTTCAATTTATTTTATTTTGCTTTATAGTTGAAATGGGGGAGGATAAGAAAGCTTGGTTCTTCAAATACAAATATGAGAGAACTTAAGATTTTGTGCTGTGGAAATATTAGAAAATCCAGCTGAAAATAAAGAAATGAGTATATGCTGGTTTTTTTTCCCCCAAAGCTAGGTTTATTTAAAAGAATAATTCTATAGTGGTGGTCAGTTTCTTTGTGATCTCAACAATTAATTATTTTTAAAAATCACCTTTTTTTTTAAAAAAAGATTTTTTATTTATTCATGAGAGACAGAAAGAGGCAGAGACATAGGCTGAGGGAGAAGCAGGCTTTCTGTGTAGAGCCTGATGCAGGACTTGATCCCAGGACCTCGGGATCATGACCTGAGCCAAAGGCAGACACTCAACCACTAAGCAATTTAGGTGTCCCAAAAATCACCTTTTTTGTGTGTGTGTGGTAAACTTCAGGAAACAATTCTCACAGGTATTACTTGTCATCTACCTTGAATCTCTTCAGAACACCTTTTATTCTTGGGGATTTAGCATTCATCAGCCCCAAATCTAGCTTACCTTATTGACAAAATAATATTGTCAAACTTGTTTTAAAATTATTAAGTCTGGAATCTTAGAATCTTTTAGATATTAAAAAGAGCAGATTAGTTAAATGATTTTCTATTCAAAAAGAAATCATGTGTATTTCCTCTCTGTTTCTATCCTCTACATATTATTTAGCTAGTATTCTCAGTAAGAGTTAGTATGGAGAAGAGGATTGAGAATTAAAGCTTTACTATTCCTTGTCTCTACAAAGGATCAGTGATAATGTTGTTACTACTATTGATAATTTTTTGGAACACTAGAGAAAATTCCTCTAAGTGTTACTTGGTCTTTGTCATACATAGAGTATGTTTCCCAAGGATTAAGACTTTGTCTCCTCAAATCTCTTTTGGTTTCTGTAATTGTGCTCCCAGATGTTAAGGAAAATTTATCTTGTTTTAGGAGTTCTTTGTGTTCTTCTAAGCCTTTTGGAAACTATTTTCATCTACCTACCCACATTTTGTTTACTTATGTAAGTTTTTGGGTACCATGCATATGGATGATCATTGGAATGATGCATGATTGACTTTTATTTCTATCACAGGTGTGTTTTCTATTATAAGGGCAGTTTATGTAGCCAAGTTAACTCTCATGAATTATGTTTCTATGGAGTAAGATAGTTTTGACTCAGATGGATAGAAATTAAAGGTAAAATTTTAATAGCAGTTTCATTTTCTTTTTTAGAATGGTGAAGATTTTACATTTTTCATAGTAATTCTCAGTCATTACTTATTAACAGACTAAGCCTTTTGGTATGTCAATTCATAATTGTATTCTTTTAAAGGATCATTGCAGTATTTAATGAACGTCTGCTGTGTATAAAATACCATGTTTTATATAGACAATAAAGTATCAAGTGGCTTTTTCAAACAAATTTTTGTTTGTTCCCCATATTTACTGCTTCAAGTTCTAGTTTGTCTCAATTAGTTTTTAAGAATTTTTCTGTGTGATTAAGCAATTTATTAAAGTGCTGAGTACTCTTCAGTCTATTCTCAAAGCAGAAATCATATTTTCAACTTGTTTTTATGCTTTTCTGGGAATTGAAATCCTGAGACTGAGGTTAGAGAAAATGGAAATGTAACAAAGTAAATAGTGTTTTCTAAGCTAAATTATTTTACCAAAATACATTTGAAACAAATATAGGCATTGGATGATATTACATAGGCTTAGCTGTTAGCTTGTAAAGGAAAAGAAAGTTTTTGAAAGAATGCAGAAATGTACTACCAAACTTATAAACTTAAGAAAAATGTGACTAAGTTTTTGCACAGTATCTTGACACATAGCCCATCTTTTGATCATAGGATTCTGAAAGAATCCACTAGATTAGCACATGGTTGCCCAGGGAGAGAGACTGGCAAAATCACTGCCAAATAGGAAAAGAAGAGCTGGCAAGCAGGAAGCTGTGTGTGTCTTAGAGTAGTGGCGAGTAGCCGTAGGTTTCTTATTTGAAACCCTTGAATATGACTTCAGGTTCAGTTGCCTATGGGTGCAGTGTATAGAGTGATTTCTACTTCTGATATTTTAGAAGATGAAAAAACATAATTTTTAACTTATTTTTTTAAAAAACATAACTTGAAAAATATATGTTAATATTTTTTTTTATTGTTTGTTGGTCTATTTAAGTTTTGAATTCCTGGAATCAGGATATGGTGGGAGATGCGTAAGACAGCATTTGGGATTTAAGTATTTATACTTTGGCAATTGGAAATTTGGAGTATGTATGCTAGTAACTTTTCTTTTCAATTCTAGGCAGTCTTACTGATGAAGGGCAGCACTATTGTTGCAGATTAGTAGAAATGGATTCCAAAAGTGGCCTAGGCTTCATTGGTTTAGGCATTAAAGCATTACAAGACAAGAAGTATGAAGATGCTGTTAAAAACCTAACAGAAGGTAAGTATACAGTGTAGAGCATGTAACATGAGGTATATAGTTGTAACCACACTCAAGGGTATCACTGCTTGGGGTGCGTTAAATAAAACACAACCCAAGGAACGGTTGAAAGCAACACTTGTCACAGGTAAGAAGATGGGGAAATAGCCCTCAAGGCAGTGTCTCCCTGTGGGATTAGTACAGGAAGTTTTTATTTAATGTATCCTAATACAGGCAAGGATAGATAGCTGGTTTATACATTAAGAAGTATAATATATAGATATTCTCTTCCCCTGCTAAAGACCTTCCACAGGTTTCCAGCTGCCCTTAGGATAACATGCAAACTCCTTCACAAGGTTTGCAACTCTCTCGAGTCTGATTTCTTGCCTTTTTTTGCTCCCATACTTCTTTTTCAAATATAATGAATTCATATGCTGTTAATTAAGAACTTTGGTTGAGCTACTCATGCTTAATTAGCATGTCAGCATGCTAGTGCGTACATTGTATGTTCCAAAAATGGCCAAAAACCCCATCCATAGGAAAAAATCTTAGTGTTGTAATGAGTTAAAGGTAATTTCAGGATCATTCAGGTGGGCTTTGGTGCAGGCTCTCAGCATCAAAGCAGCTCAAACTGGCCCATGCAAGAGGCTATCAGGTGAAATACCTAGCAAGCCCCTGGGTAGGGACTGCTGTTCTGTTAAACAAAACACCTTCTTTCCCTGTTTTTGTCCCTTTTCTTCCTCCTTTCTGCTGATGCCTTTCAGCCCTCTGATCTGAGTAATTTCCTCTTATATCCTACATAACATAGTCAGTAGGCAGATATCTTTGGGCCTTTCTTTGAGGAATATATATTGAAGACAGAAGTGAGAAAAATACTCTGGAGTCTCCTTAGGTCTGAATACAACTCTCCCCCTCACTAATTTCAAGACTGAGAAAGCTAATTAAAATCTCTGTATTTTTTTTTTTAAAGATTTTATTGATTTATTCATGAGAGAGAGACACAGAGAGGCAGAGACACAGGCAGAGGGAAGCAGGCTCCCTGCAGGGAGCCCGATGCGGGGACTCGATCCCAGGATCCTGGGATCTCGACCTGAGCTGAAGGCAGATGCTCACCCAGGCGTCCCTGTCTCAGTGTTTTCATTTGTAAAATAAGGATAATTTTATATATGTGCGTGTGTTATACTAATATCAATAAATACATATTATATATACACACATACATTTTTTTTCCCTCGTCCTTAGGAATCTTTAACTTAATTTGTCAGGTATAATGTTTCTGGATGAACTTACGTTCAAATAGAAATGTGAATAGCAAATACAAGCTTAGAGTGGGAGGAGCATTTCCATCCATGTCTCAGCTGAAATAGCCTGAGACAAAGATCACAACTGAAATTCAGGGTAGTTCAGCAAGATGTGAGAATGATGGATGGGATTAGGAAGAGTCAAGAAAGGAGACTGGAGAGGGGCCTTGCACACTTGGGAAGGAGATTGCATGTTATCCTAAGGGCAGCCGGGAAGGAGATTGCATGTTATCCTAAGGGCAGCCAGTTCTTAAGCAGGGGAATTTCATAATTCTGTTAGTATTTGTGGAGATATTCTGGCTACAGTGTAGAGAATGAATTGGAGTGGGTGGCAAGCACTTGCTGTAATCTGGGATAAAGATGGTGCCGATAAAGGTGGTAGACAAATGGATTGGGGCATGGAATCAGGGTTGTGAATGATTATATATGAAAGGTAAGGGAGAGGAGGAGCCAGACTTGGGGAGTAGATGGTGGTGCCATTCGTCTCTGTAGATGTAGAAAGCTTGGATTTTGTGATTGCTTTTATCTTTTTAGGTTTAAAGGAAAGCCCTCTTTGCACAACTGGATGGTATCATCTGGCAGAAGCCCAAATTAAAATGCATAGATCTAAGGAAGCTGTTCTTTCATGCAATCAAGGTATTGGCATCTATAAGGGTGGCCAACCCTGTTTCTTTTCATATTAAAAGAGAAAGATAGTGGTGAAACAAAACTTACATGCTTTATTTTGTATTTTAAATTACTAATTTAAATTTCATTGATGTGGGGGGAGTCCCTTAGGCACTGGAAGGCGGTGGTGGTGTCCGGGAAGTTTCTGCACCATGAGCTCTATCGGTACCGGGTATGACCTGTCAGCCTCTACATTCTCTCCTGATGGGAGAGTTTTTCAAGTTGAATATGCTATGAAGGCTGTGGAAAACAGTAGTACAGCTGTTGGAATCAGATGTAAAGATGGTGTTGTCTTTGGGGTAGAAAAGTTAGTCCTTTCTAAACTTTATGAAGAAGGTTCCGACAAACGACTTTTTAATGTTGATCGGCATGTTGGAGTGGCAGTAGCAGGTTTGTTGGCTGATGCTCGTTCTTTAGCAGACATTGCAAGAGAAGAAGCTTCCAACTTTATATCTAATTTTGGCTGTAACATTCCATTAAAACATCTTGCAGACAAAGTGGCCATGTATGTACACGCATATACACTTTACAGTGCTGTTAGACCTTTTGGCTGCAGTTTCATGTTAGGGTCTTACAGCGTGAATGACGGTGCACAGCTCTACATGATTGACCCATCAGGAGTTTCATATGGTTATTGGGGTTGTGCTATTGGCAAAGCCGGGCAAGCTGCAAAGACAGAAATTGAAAAACTTCAGATGAAAGAAATGACCTGCCGTGATGTTAAAGAAGTTGCAAAAATAATTTACATAGTACATGATGAAGTTAAGGATAACGCTTTTGAACTAGAGCTCAGCTGCGTTGGTGAAATAACTAAAGGAAGACATGAAATTTTTCCAAAAGATATAAGGGAAGAGGCAGAGAAATATGCTAAGGAATCTTTAAAGGAAGAAGATGAATCAGATGAGGATAATATGTAACATTTACTTCAGCATCTATTTTAAATTTCTCTTATAGTCCCATGTAACTCTTTAGCCCTGTGGAGTCTTACCTACCCAGTGACCAGTTTTCATTAAACTTTTGTGTTCAAATAAACAAACAAATAAATAAATAAATACATTTCATTGTGGTTAAATAATGCCAAGTGTGGATGCATATAGTATGTTTTCTTCTAAACTAACAATGAGTATTTTTCAAAGATCCTTGCACTTGGATTTTGATAGTGTAGGCTTCTGTGGAGGTACTCTTCTTTAACAAGGAAGTTTCTGGTTCATCCAGGACTTTGGGAGTTTTTGATTCCCTTGATGTAAATAAGAGAAGTCTTAGGCACCTAGAGCCTATTTGAATGTGTTCAGATGGGTCAGGTGAGGGGTTAGGAAATCATATCAAGTGGTTCACTACTTTTGACCTAGCTGGTGGCCTCGCCTCTGAAATAGAGGAAGCAATTCACCCTGGTCCTTTTGAATTCAACTGCTTTCCCCCAATATCCCTAATTTGCTAAGTTGTTACTAATGCTTTGGCTAATCTTTGTTATGGAGCAGTTATAGATAGCCATTGTATTTCAGGATGTTCATGTTATATGTTATGTAAAGATAGATTTTAAATTTAGATCTGTTCTGTTTTAAATTCAGATACTCCCATAAAGAATTCAGGGAAGAATTTATATTTAGCTCTGAATTATTCTTCATGGATATTGCTTTGGCAATTTATTCGTATTGTAGCTCCATTTTATTATTTATCACCCTTAAAAAGAAAAAAGTGAAGTAATATGATTGTCTTTATTCAGATCTCCTTAATTTTTGTCAGCTCTGAAGAATATAGATAATCTTGGTGTGTCTGGTGGCAGTCTTCATCAGAAGAATCTTTGTCTCCGTTTGAAAGCAGAGGCTTTGATTAAACTCTCAGATTATGAATCTTCAGTGGAAGCAATTTGTACTCTTGATCAGGTAGTTCTACCAGGTTTTTCTTTTCAACTTTATTTTTTCCAGTCAACCAGGCATCAACCGCTCTCCCTTTACAAGTATTTATTTTTAAACAAATTTTGTGTTAGAGGTATGAATTCATCACATCTGCATTTTCTAAATCATTCACACACTTGGAAACTGCTAAAGTTATTTGCCTCATGGTTAAGTACTTACAATGTTCTTCATATGATGCAATTTATTTCTTAAGTATTGTTCTTCCTGTCTTTTTCTCTTTTGCCCTCTTACATTATTACTACTTGGTTATTATTAATTTGGGATCCTACAGTTTTTCCTCCAGAAAAGATTTAAAGGTTATTGATAAGAACAATGAAGGACACAGTAACTTCGTGGTAGACAGTATTGTTTATTTATTTTTTCAATTTAAGAAAACATAAGGAGATTGATGTTTAAGGAGGAACCCTGTCTTAATGTTTTTGGTTCAAACAACTTGAAAATCCCTTGCAAAAAACTAACTAGTAAATTATGAATTATAAGAATATGGTGCTTTTAAATAGCCTTTTTGTCAGAGGCTATTTTTTTAATCTAAAATTAAATTATATCACTCAGTTTATTTTGGGGTTTTGAATTTTTAAAATATCGTTGTTTAGTATGTTTCAAAGGGCTTTTGCATTTCATAATATTTCATTAAAATTAGAACAGTTGCCAGCATCCTTCAAGAACTAATATCTTAATTTCTTATTTTCTACTTGCCTTCTGCCAATAATGAAAATGAATTTTGTGTGAATGCTTTGAGGAGATCTTTCTAATCTTGTTTTTTTTTTTTTTTTTTTTTTTTGTGGAAAAATAAAGTTTCTTGGATAGCTAGTGAAGTCCAGGTCTGAAACAGAAAATGTATAGGATGAGCCCAGGATATCTTAGAATGCTAGAAAGCAAGGAAACTATAAAAACCTACTAGAATAATGTTAGAAATGTTAGAAAGACTTAGGAACTACTGTGGATTGATTATCATTGGCTAAAGGGAAGTTTGAGCACCAGTAGCTATAGCAGATGAAAGATATCAAGCATGTTTAAATTCATGTATTCAAAATGATGCAAAAAAGTCAACAAAACATCCTCAATAAATTCTTTGGAGGATGCCAAGGAACCATTTGGAAAGAATCAAAGTGTTTTTCCTGCCTTTCCTTTATGAACTGTTCCTCAGAATAATCAAATAGATAATGAGAGGAGGGAAATTTTTTTGTTGTTGAAATATTCTATCGATAAGGAAAGAAGGAATATAGAATCAGAAAATCACCATTTTGTTATCTGTAATGAATTAATAGATCTAGGCATTGAGGATCAATGGTTGCTAACATCATCAAAAGAAAGAACCATACATAACCAGGTGCATGTATGCATGAGGTATTCCTGTCAAAGCATCAAGCCTGATTCATATTAAGTGTTTAGACCTAACAACTAATTACAGAAGATATAGGGGACCAAAGGACATGTCAGGACCATGAGACTCCATTCAGTAAAATCCGGGCTGTGAGAAATTGTAACAAGTGCCCCTTATTTTTCAACAATTTAATTGTAAGGGAGTAAAAAAGAATGGAAGGGAGCCCTATAAATTAAAGCCCTATAAATTAAAGATATCTGAGGTAATCTAAGCAGGAGGGTAGTGAAATGGGTGGAGGTATGTATGAGAAAAGATTGGCTTTGAGTTAATAATTTTGAAGCTGGATAATGAGTGCATATGGGATTATTATACTGTTCTCTAGTTTTTTGAAATGTGTTTGAAATTTTCTCTAATAAAAAGGTTACAAAGAATGAATGTGTTCATAGTGATAAAAATCAAGAACTGTATGTCTTTATTCTATGCTCCTTGGTCATTCTTTAATTAAAGTAAACATTGCTACTCTGTATTGAAAGAGACTTATAGCAGTTCTTTACATTTATTTTCTAGGTTTCTGATGCAAATAATATCCCAGGACTTTTGGTTCTTAAAAGCTTGGCCTATCTGAACAAAGGCTCGTTAGATGAAGCTTCAAAGGTTGGGTTTTTTCATTCAAACTGGGAATTTTTGAGTGGGGAGGGGAGAGGGAAAGAGAATCTCAAGCAGGCCCATGCCATTGCAGAGCCTGATGTGGGGCTTGATCTCACAACTTGAGATCATGACATGGGCCAAAATCAAGAGTCAGATGCTTAAACAATTGAGCACCCAGGCACCCCAAAATGGGAATATCTTAAAGCCACAAGTGACTTTATTTGGGTAACGAATTGACAGATATCTACTTTATAGATTATGGAAGACCTTCTTTCTTCTTACCCTGACCTAGCTGAAGTTCATGCCCTGGAGGCTTTGATTCATTTTACCAAAAAGAACTATCTACAAGCAGAGAAATGGTAAGGATAGATTTAGACTACTCATAGATCTAGTCATACCTTAATTTACTCTATTTCTTAAAAATTTAAGATGAGTATGTTTGATAAAGATCCGTTTTGTATAAATTTGATCGGTGTAAGCGTTAGTATTTCTAAAAATGTATTTAATATGTAGCACAGTACCCGTAAGAAAATTCCATAAAGCGTATGAAATTTAATTGATCATAATGTCAGTGAGCAGATACAATGTTTGATATGTCCTCCTATACACTTGCCACACTAGTAAAGCTAAAAGGCCATTGTGCTTTTATAAGCTCCTCTTCAAATATTTTTTCTCATTATAATCTAAATTCTAAAGTAATAACTTTTTTCTGATATAGCATCTTAGAATCACTCAGACTTTGTCCCAACTAGTTTTGTGTGCATGTGTGTGTGTGTGTGTGTATGTGTCTTCTTACTTCCCTTTGGTGACTTAGCTTTCAGAGAGCTCTTGAGAAAGATGCTGAAGTTGCTGAATATCATTATCAACTTGGGTTAACATATTGGTTCATGGATGAAGAAACAAGAAAAGATAAAACTAAGGCTCTTACCCACTTTCTAAAGGTAAAATAGTGCTTCTATTCAATTCTTAGCCGAAATGGATTATAAAACCATAAGTAATAATCATACAAGTTATGCACTTAAAATTACTATTCTCTGAAATCTTTTTAATTTTTTTAGAAAGATTTATTTGAGAGAAAGAGAGTGTGCATATGTGCACACAAATAGAAAGGGGAAGAGAGAGAACCTCAAGCAGCCTCCATGCTGAGCCTGGAGCCTGACTTGGGGTTTGATCTAACAACCATGAGATCACGACCAGATTCAGAATCAGGAGCCAGATGTTTAACTGGTGGCATCACCCAGGTGCCCCTCAACTGATTTTTTTTTTTTTAACTAGACTGTTTTTGATATTTGATCTCTCACATAGAAAGTTTTGTGGAAAATGTTATATGGGTTTTTAAGGAGAAAATAAAAATATAAAAGCTACTTATTAAAAAACACATAGAAAATGAGACACAATTATCTCTAGAAAAGAATATTGTTTTTAGGTAATTTCCACTGTAATAGTATGGGCATATATACTTTTAGATGTTTAATTTCTTTCTTTCTTTTTTTTAAATGATTATTTATTTACTTATTTGACACAGAGAGAGAAAGAGAGCACACACAAACAGGGGGAGTGGGAGAGGGAGAAACAGGCTCCTCTCTGAGCAGGGAGTCTGACTTGGGGCTTGATCCTGGGACCCTGAGATCATGACCTGAGCTGAAGGCAGATGCTTAACTGACTGGGCCACCCAGGTGCCCCAGATGTTTAATTTCTTATATTTTAGATATTAAAGATCTAAAAGTCTTATATTCTTATCTTGATTCACCAAAGAAGATTAATGTAATAGTAACTCTAACTTCACATTTCTTTTTAACAAAGATACAATATTTTTACATTTGTTTGCATTCTATAAGCAATGATAACCAGCTTTCCTGTTGCTTTAAATCTTACATTAAAGAATGTGTTGGTATACTTTGGTATGTTTAATTACAGTGTCCTATTTTTCTTTTAACCTGTGTATTTTTTTTTTGTGTTCTTAAAAAGAACCACCCAGGCAAACTTTAATACTGTGTTGCTATCAATCTTTATTTCAAAGGCTGCCAGGCTGGATACATACATGGGCAAAGTTTTCTGCTATTTAGGTCATTACTACAGAGATGTGGTAGGAGATAAAAACAGAGCCCGTGGCTGTTACAAGAAAGCTTTTGAATTAGATGATACTGATGCTGAATCTGGAGCTGCAGCAGTTGACTTAAGTGTGGAA